TCAATACTTCATTGTATTGCTCTTTATGGATGGTTTTCTCGGTGCATTTGTACTCTCTACTTCGGATACTACTACTTGCTCAGCTGTGTGATTTCACAACCTGGTTTTATGTATATCACTCACACTCGTATTCCTTGCACTTTGGTATCGGAGCTGGTTGTGATCACCGCTTACCTGACACCGGTGACATTGTAACTTGGTGCGCTGAGGATGCTTCATGCGCAGTGAGAACACTTTGCCGCTGGTTGATTAGCGGGGCCTAGGTAGAGAGGCCAGCCGCTGGAAGGCTGTGGCGACAGCGTGGGAGCTGTGGCGACAGCACATGTACACATGATGATGAGAGTATGCTGACGTGGCATTTTGGCTGAGGTGGCACTACATTGCGTTGTGGGTGGTACCGAGGCTATTGACCGGTCATCGAAATGCACATCAGCCCAATTGGTGAGAAATCTGTGGTTGGGGGCAGCTATCTTCAGGTACGTTGTTCCCATTCCTTATCTACCTTCTCAATCTCTTCTTACCGTGAGGAAGTGAGTCCAACTTGAGTGTCCTCTCTTTGGTAAGGAGTCGTGTGCGCTATATCTTGAGAGACGACATTCTTCCTGGTGGCGCATCTGGCAGGAGAGGGCGGTGCCTCTGAAGGGCCCTGGTCGAAGCACGTGAGTCACGGTCACCATGCCAACCCAATGGGATTAGTACACGCATGCGATGGCTGCTTTGTCCATTGAGGCTCTTTGCTGCGCTGATAAGAAGGGGTGTGCGGACTGACCAGTCCCATTGAGACGCTCCCAGACCGTCTATAAACATTTCTGGTTGGGGTCTGAACTGTTCACTGGCTGTGATCGTTGTCCTGTTTGCGACGTTAAATAATTCCTGAGGAGATGGGGGCTCTCCTTAAATCCCTCCTGATCAGCCAGATCATTCACACGTAAGGCTCGTTGCACGCGAGGATAAACAAAGGGGCAGGCTGGTCATAAGCATACTTCTTGGGCACAGGGGTGGGCCGTGGTTGCACACCTTAGACACCGCAGCTTGATGATGCTCACAGGTACATTGGATACAGGGGAAGAGGATTCCAATTGTGAACTCAACTGTACATCACTGACACATCCGTTGTGCATACATCTGCTCACATTAGTCTGAGTTTTATTTTGATTAGTTGGTTGACCGACTGCTGACACCTAACAGACAGACTAGAGATAGGACTGTAATCTACCATAGTCAGTTCCTCTCCAATCTTCTGTGCAGACTAATCAGAATAAGACTTAGGCAATGTGTATAGTTTGAGTAGATGCTGTTGATGCCACTTGTCTAGTAGGCTTGGTAACTCGCCGGACATTTATTTATTTACTTTTAGATCCGGTCAGACGCATGCTGCGGTAGGTTCCAGCGAGGACATTAGTGCAGACAGCGTCTGCCTATCCTATGAGTGGATCAGGGGGTGAGGGAGGTGCAAATGACGATAGGAGGTTAACAAGGCTAACATCCCTTAGAATCCCTAGAGTGTTCCAGACCCTACAACCGGGAGAAGAGAGAAGATTAAGGGCTGAAGCTAGGGCCCGTAGTCTTGAGGCTGCAAGAGAAGCAACAACCGCTTGGGCGGTAACAATGAGTAATGCTACTTCCGCAGCAACTGCTGCGAACTCAACTGGTCAAGGGCTAGGCAGGCCGACCAGTTCACAGTCAATCTCCAGTACGTCAGGGGTTGGCACTAGTCAAATGGCGGGCTCGTAGTTCAGCTCGCCGCCTCCATACACCCGGGAGCAGATGGAGCTCTAACAAGTAGAGAGGATCCGCTTAAGGTTAGAGGAGGAACTTAGGCAGGCTACTAAAAGAGAAAAAAAGATCAAAGATAGAAGTGCTAGACTACAGGGCAGGGAGGCAGACCAAGCTTCGTTAGAAGGATTAAATGACTTGGCCCTCAATAACAATGAAAAGATTCTGAAGGCGAGCATCCTGTCCATGCATGCATACATGGACAGTAAACTGGATGCAATCCAGGACACCTTGGACCAGATCCTGAATGCCATGCACAAGCCAGGGATCCGGCCAGCAGCTTTACTATCGCTGCCACTCTCAGCGATGACAGGCCTCTATGCCGCTCAGTCTACACCACCACCAAGTGCATCATCAACAGTAGCCCTATCTCAGACTGTTGCTTCTTCATCTTCTGGTCCAGTGACTGTTGCTACACCACAGTCGCCACCTGTCTCACAATAGGGACAACAATATCCTTGGTACCCCAAGAC